AAAACTACACCCAGTTGAAGTTGGAAAAGGCGTTATTTTCCCTTTCTGCACGATTTGCACCGCAATGAACTTTTATGGCGCCGCAGTGCCAAATTCTTCCCCAAATCTTCTTTGCTAAAAACCTCGTCATGCCACAGCGCATAATATATCACACTACAACATGAACCTTTCTGTCCAAATTCATGCTAGACCTCTCCTTAGTGCACCGCAGCGCAAAAAAACTCTGCCACAACACCATTTTGAAGTTCCACATTTTTCTTCTAAGTCTTGACTCGACTTGCACTCCAATATGTCCCAAATTGTCCGATCATCATTGCAAGTACAAAATCACCATTTTCGCGCCTAAATTCTTGAAACTCACACACATACCCGTGATTCTTGAAAATAGAAATATTTAAAGAGATTCATACCAAAGTAATACATTACAACCATGAATTCCCTACAATCTATCCACCAAATCACTAAATATACATGCATTTTCGACACTCATCAAGCATACAAGTGATCGAGTCGGGATCATTACTCTTGTGATGAAGCAACAAGAGAAATAATGGATTTGGAAACTGAGGCAACATGGCATGAAAAGGTCGTATTGATGAGTCCAGAGTTTATATTTTGGATTGGTAACGTGCTGGTCCTTTTGATTGATTTTCTTGGGGGGACAAGGGAGTGTGCCATATTGAAGCCAAGTAAATCATAACCATAGAGAAGAGTGTGAAATTGTGCTCTCCACGGTCGATAGTTGTTCAAGCCTGTAAGCTTGATTGGGAGCTGAGCAGCCACACTAATTGATACTATAACATTTTCAGGAATAATGCCTGTGGTGAATTACCTTGCAGGTTGTACTCTCTAAGACTTTTTCATCCATGGTGGTAAAAGAAGATGAAAGTTCCAAATATGGAAAAGTTACTTGGTGGAGCAAAATAGCTCTGATATCATATAAAATATTTGTGAAAGGTTAATCTTTCTCATTGAAACATTATATACATCCATTCAGAGGCTATACAAAGAATGTAAATATGCGCAACAATACAAGGCAAGAAATGTTCACAAAATGTAAGGCATAAATTACGGGTACGAGCTATACACTTATTCAAGTCAATGCACATCATGTGATGGTCTAATATTTGTAACAATTGAGGTTTCAATTAATTGATTGCAAATAGAATTTAACTAAGAAAAAATAGTGAATGAGAATTGTGATTAATATAAAAAAAAATGTTACGTTTATAACATAATCTCACAATCTTCTCTTACAACCGTAACCTGTCAACAGATTGGAACTGTCACGTCAGCTCCCACCACACTCAAGGCACCCAAGGAATTACGAGAAACAAACGGTCATTCCTTCAGAAGGAACAATCGTTCCTTCATAAGGAATGGTTGTTCCTTCAGGAACAACCTTGTTCTTGAAGGAACAACCATGGTTGTTCCTTACCTTATTTTTCTCATATCAATTCCTTTCTTCAATTTCGTTCTTCTTCTTCTTCTTCTTCTTCTTCTTGGAACAACCTTGTTCCTTAACAACCATTCCTTTCACTATTCCTTACATAATGAATGATTGTTCCTTCATAAAGAATGACCATTCTTTTTGTGAGAAATTGTCATTTCTTCATAAGGAACGGTTGTTCCCTATGAAGAAATATTCTTTGGTCTAGTCAAAATCATTTTATACTTTGGGTGTGGTGGAACTAACGTGACAATGTCAACTCAATTGTCACGTCGAGGTTGTAAGAAAAGTTTGTGAGCATGCGTTGTTGGCGTAACATTATTCTTACTATAAAGAAAATATGAATTTAAAAGGGAAGAAATTGAACAAATCCCAATTTCAGAAGGAAAAGTTAGATAAAATCTCTCTGCATTAGGAATTTATGGGTACAATATAGTTAAGTCTAAATTTCAAGGAGTACAAATAATTAATCAAATTTTTTGGGGGCACAATTGTTAGTAGCTTAGAAATCCTATGGATAATTTCTTATTTCTAAAATTTCAAGAGGGGCATGTTGCCATCGCTCTATACCGTGGATCCGCCCCTAGATCGAGACATAAACAGTACAATTAATTAATAAATTTATTTCATATATATATTGTTTTTTATCTCATCTATCATAACAAAAGGAATATGAATAACTGTTTTCAAGAAAGAATATCTATGTATCACAAACTCATTTGCTTTTATACGAACGATATAGTAGCTCTTTAGTATCATAAACTCTCTTCATGAACTTAAAAATATATAGCTTAATTTTTCAAATTAAAAAGATAGATTTATAATTAAAAAAATTAATAATAAATTTTTTTTTTT